TGTCATTAATCCCGCCCTTTCGTCCTCTGGTGCTTCCAGACACAAGTTTGCCGGCAGCACGGCCCTGCACTTTGCTGCCGAAATGGGACAGGTGAGCGAGCCATTTGCATAGTTGAGTGGGCGACGCGTGGGGTTGAGGTGGTGATCACCTGATGTCACCTCACCAACTCGAACAGTGCACTTCCCTGATCCTTCCATCCAGCACTCACAAATTTTCACTCACGCACGCACACACACACACACACACACACACACACACACACACACACACACACACACACACACACACACACACACACACACACACGTGTATGGTCGTGTGCACTGCGTCACCTCATCATCATCGTCATCGTCATCCGCGCGGTTTGATGAATGCCGCCACGCCAGCCGGAGGCGGTTGCGCTGCTGTGCGAGCGCGGGGCGAATGTTGAAGCGGAGAAAACCCACGGTGGCCGTCCCATCCACATTGCCGCAGACTCCAACCAGACCGCTGTCGCCCGTGTCCTCATCCAGGTGAGGATGTGTGTGTGTGTGTGTGTGTGTGTGTGTGTGTGTGTGTGTGTGTGCGCGTGCGTGTGTGTGTGTGTGTGTGTGACAGAGAGTGAGAGTGAGAGCGAGTGTGCGTGTGTGTGTGTGTGTGTGTGTGTGTGTGTGTGTGTGTGTGTGTGTGTGTGTGTGTGTGTGTGTGTGTGTGCTGTGCTGTCGGCACCGCTGCACTTCTCTCTGCCTTTCCTGTGTCTTCTGTCGTCATCTCTATCTCTCTCTCTCTCGGTTCCTTTCTCACTCTTTCTCTTGATCACCACCGCCACTGCCACTGGTCCGTGCCACTGCGATCATCATTATCAGACGTGCGGTGCGGATGTGAATGCGCTGCTGCTTGGCGACACCACACCCCTCTATCTCGCTGCACAGAAGGGATTCACCCGCATGGTCGAGGTGGGCGCACGTATGCACGCGTTCATGTGTGAATTTGTGTGTGTGTGTGTGCATGTGTGTGTGTGTGTGCATGTGTGTGTGTGTGCATGAGTGCATGTGTGTGTGTGTGTGTGTGTGTGTGTGTGTCGCGGTCGTGTTTGACGTGAACTGACATGCACTTCACTCTCATCCGCTTGGTGCCATCAGGTGCTGCTTGAATCAGAGGCGGACTCCTCCTTTGAAATGCCGACAGCCGCCGCGAACACGCACGTCGCTCGCGTTTCCTCTGACGTGAGATTCCCTTCTGTGGCGTGACGTCTGCTCTGGGCAGTTTTCACTCGTTCTTCATTGATACCACAACCACCACGACCACCAACCCCCCACCATGACTACCAACCCCCACCACGACTACCACGACTACCATGACAACCATCACCACTCATCCATTCATCCATCATCACCGCCACCATCATCATCCCCATGTCGCCACTCAGGGTGCCGGGTCGCGTGTACCGACCGCTGTTGGCGCGACAGATGACGAGACGGAGATGTTTCAGTGGGCGAGCCAGTTCAATCAGCCCGCCGCAGGTACACATGCACGAGGTTGAGGGTCATGCACACACATATGCTTGCACTCATGCACGCACACTTGGGTCTGGTCGTGCTCGTAATCGCACGCACCCCATGACCACATGATAGCATGCATGGCATTGCCGTCATTGGCGTCCAAACGTTGAATGACCTCCACTGCTTGCGCTCGTGCTCATGCATGTGTGTGTGCGTGTGTGTGCATATGTGTATGTGTGTATGTGCGTGTGTGCGTGTGTGTACATATGTGTGTGTGTGATTGATGCGTACACCAGATCCGAGTGCCGCGGGATTTGAACAAGGCAACGGCGCAACTGCCCTACACGCTGCTGTCGAGAATGGTCACATCGACGTACGTGCTGAAGCAAGAGGGTAAAGGTGGCGGTATCAAACATGGCTCACTGTCTGTTCACACACACACACACACATTCACACACACATTCACACACACACACACACAACACACCCATCACCCGTAGGTTGTGCGTGCTCTGCTGCGGCGCGGTGTGCCGCAAACAGACAGCATGCAGGGCGCAACACCACTGTGGACGGCTGTCGACTACAACAGGCCAGCCATCGCCCGCGTGCTCATGCACTACGGAGGCAACCCCGACGCGCCTATGAAGCAGACAGGTGACACACCGCTGCACCGCGCGGTCACGCGCGGGCGAATGAACATGGCGCAGGTGCTGCTTGAGGGCGGCGCGAGCGTGCGCGCGAGGAACAAGCAGGGCGCTTCCCCATTGCACGTTGCGTGCGCGATGGGCAGGAGTGATGCAATCAAGCTATTGCTTGAGCACGGCGCACAGCTCTCTGATGCAACGGAGGATGGAAGCACGTGTGCACACATTGCGGCACAGTACGGGCACATACACTTCCTTCAAGCGGTACGTGGGTCTGTGATGTGCGTGCGTATGCGAATGAGTGTGTGCGTGTGTGATGCACGTGAGTGCGATTGCGTTATTTGCATGCTTGTGAAGATGACATGCAGTGCATGGATGTGCGTTGCCATGACTGTGCAGTGCTCACGTACATCTGCGAAGTTGTTCCTGCTGCTGCTGTACAATGTGTTGTTCTTGTCGTTTGCCTCACCAACACTGGTTCACTCCTTCCACAAACACACCATACCCCACAATGCACCCATCACGTTGTGGCATGACGCCTTCCATCTTCAAGATGCTGGATTCCAATCACGCGTCTGTGGATGGTGTGGACGGCGATGGTGAGACACCGCTTCACTTTGCTGCTCGCGGGTCCAACGTTGCAACTGTCAACCTCCTCCTCTCCCGCGGCGCACATGTCAACGCGCAGGTGATGGTGGCTGTGCGCATGTACGCATGTATGTAATGTGTGTGTGTGTGTCTGCATAACCTGCGACTCGCGTGTGTTGAGCGCTACTAATGTGTTCGTTTCCTTCTCATCCCTCCATCTTCCTCTTCCTCCGCTTGTTCGCGTTCTTCTTCAACGGTGCAGTCAGCGATGACGGGTCTTACGCCGCTGATGATCGCTGCACAGCGCGGACGCACAGCCGTGGTGAGGATGCGCAGTCGACTGCCAAATGCACCTTGAACAAGAGGACACACACACATACACACGCACATGCACGCGTACACGCACACACACACACACATACACACATACACGCGCACACGCATACGCACACGCACATTGACAGCCGTATCAACCTGATCATCACCTCCCCTCTCCCCTCTCTTGCTTTGCGCCAGATGCGAGCACTGCTCGATGGCGGAGCGGATCCGAACACGCGCGCGTCTGCCGCGGGATTCAAATCGACGGCGCTGTATGCGGCTGCACAGTCTGGTTCTGTGGCCGCAGTGACAACACTACTTGAGGCAGGGGCAGCTGTCAACGCCCGCATCTCTACAGGTGGTGCCTGTTGCCGCTGCCGTTGCCGCTGTTGCTGCTGAGGAGGAGGGGTGACTGGTGTTGTTGCTGTTGCTGCTGTTGCTGCTGTTGATGATGGTGACAGGTGCCAAGTCATTGCTTGGCTCCATCGTCGCTCGTTGCTCAACTCAAGCACACACACGCACACACACGCACACGCACACACATACACATACACACATACACATGTACACGCTCGCGCATGTCTCGCTCACATGTGTTACGCATCATGAACTTCGCGTGCAGGTGCCACTGCGCTGTCCACGGCGGCCGAGCGTGGATACCATGATGTGGTGGAAGCGCTCATATCCGCTGGTGCCGAAGTCAACTTTGCTGACGTTAACGGGAACACGGCGCTGCTCCTTGCTGCGCAGGGGAAACACACGCGCGTCGCACAGCTCTTGCTGCAACGAGGTGTGTGTGTGTGTGTCGTGTGTGTGTGTGTGTGTGTGTGTGTGTGTGTGTGTGTGTGTGTGTGTGTGTGTGTGTGTGTTGCAGTTGCTACGCACCCCTTCCTGCTCCGTCCTGCCAATCGTCACACGGCTCGACCAATGTTTCCACAAACTTCAATTCCAATGCAGGTGCAAAACCAGACCGTGTTAATAAGCGTGGACAGCATGCACTGGAGATTGCGTACGCAACATCGAACAACAAGCGTATGTCTTCACTCATCGTTCCCATTTCTGAACGCACACTTGCAAGCACGAACTTGTCCACATCCACACATACACACGTCCACAATTCCTCATGAACTTCATTATCTCACCGCTTGTTCACGCCACCACCACCACACTGCTGTATCGTCACCGCTATCTTCACAACGATGACCACCACCATCACCACCACTGCCAGTGCTTGGGCTACTGCTGAAGTCTGGGGCGAATCCTGCGCGCGTGTGTTCGGATGGACTGAGCGTCCGGGAGAAGGCGACGCGCGACCGCAACTTTGAGGCGCTGAAATTGATTGGCACACACGAGTACGACCAACCCAGCAGTGCACACGCGAAGGACGAGCTGTGACGGACACGTGTGTGTTTGTGTGTGTGTTTGTGTGTGTGTGTGTGTGTGTGTGCGTGTGTGTGTGCGTGTGTGCGTGTGTGTGCGTGTGCGTGTGTGTGTGTGTGTGCGTGTGTGTGTGCGTGTGTGTTTGTGTGTGCACGCAAACACGCGCGTGTGTGTATTGGCGGTGCGACTTTGATGTCTTGTGTTACAGCATAGCAAGTTATCACGTGAATAATAGATTGTCTTATTCGATCAAGGAAGTTGTGTTGATTGACGCATTTATGTGACAAATGGGCCCGTTCTGTTGTTGGACGGATGTGAATGTGAGACGTAGTGATGTGATGGCGTGCGTATTGGGATGAATTGAAAGTGTAATTCACCGCAATAACACGTGACGCTGGGCTTGCGAACTTGACGAAGAAAGCAGTGTCGGTCTATTTGTGGGGCAGACTTGGGAACAACAGCACAGCCACAACATTGGGGCAGTCAGGCCATGAGGCAAACATCTACTCACGGTGCAGATAGGCCAACACGTGCACTTGGAGAGACTCCAGACTGACAAGAACAACACGACACAGCAAACGGAAGGCT